TTTGTGTTTTTTAATTCGATTAACATGTTCCCAAATCAACTATAATTGAAAATTCTGAATTTTTTTAAGTTTAGTCTTATTGCAATCTTGCCACAAAAAAGAGACTTGATCAAGGACTTTTATTATATTTATTGCTTTTGTAAAGTTTGATATTCCAACTTCTATTTTGCTCTTCCTTTATTTTAAGTACAAACCAGTAGAGCTACAGTCTCGACAGAGACTTCTGGTTGTTATCATTCGAAGCAGAATTCGTCCTGAATCTTGTACGTGAAAAGAAGAAAACGATTGCTGTGGCTTCTAATCGACTTTTAGATATTTCATTAATACTGAAATTGTATGTGTCCCATATCACTAGCACTGTTCTAGAATAAAGCAGTTAGGAAGCAGAAGCGTAACAAATTTTAATAACAATTAGACATTTGTTTGTAAGATTGATGACATGTTTGTTTTAATTAATATAATACCATTTTGTATCCCCGCTAGAAAAAGCAGGAGAAGTGCTGGATTGTACCGAATTCGGTGAGTCCTTCTAAGGTAGTCCTATCCTCAGGTGTATAAAATTAGCAGTTACATATGTAAGTAAACAAAAATACTCATAAAAGTATCCCTGAATCCAAAAAGTTATTTTTCTTCAGTATTTCTTCAAAGTTAACGATAAAAGTTTATCATATTATGTTGGAAAAATTGTCAAATCACCAATATTTTTGCAGAATAAGCGAATTGGAATATCAGAAATGCATTTTCTAATTGTGAATTAATCAACAAATATATTTTAGGTTAAAAACGATAGGTATCCAGGCCCCGCCGTCACCAACACCCCTCAACTCAATATTCAGCCTCAACTCTGAGGTTTACCCTCAAATTCTTTACCTCACCCCAAAATCACCGTCACCATGCAAAAATTGAGGTGTTATCTTGAGGAAATCCTCAAATATTTACGGATAGCTTCATAGCAACCTTAAAAATTTCCTCAAGCAAATTGAACATGGCTGGCAGACGTCGTAGACGACGTAGGTTTCGGAGATATCGCAATCGACCGTCAAAAAGGGTGATACGAGACCGACTGAACCCCTTAGAAGCCTACACAGACGATGAACTTTTTGACCGCTATCGATTTAGACAGACTTCAGTCGTGTATTTACTGGACTTGATAGGTGGGACTTTGATAGATAGTACAAAAAACAATGCCTTACCTCCGCTCTTACAGCTCTTCGTGTGTCTGAGGTTCTTTGCGACAGGCGCCTATCATAAACTGATAGGTGATAGCATGAATGTGTCTGAGTCAACTGTCGGTAGATGCTGTAGATCAGTCACTAATGCCATCCTTACTGTAAGACAACAATTCATTGTCTTCCCTAGAGACGAACAAGCACGGAAAACGAAGCAAGAGTTCATCAAAATTGCCGGTATGTTGTTCGTCGTTTTGTTTGCTTTTCTACTTTCTCTTTCAAAACTTACATGTAGGAAGGATAACTCGTTCTTTTCGATTTCGTGCATGTACAGGGTGTTTCACAATATATGTCTCACATCTAAAGACAGATAGATAATGAACACAAGCTACATATTCATTATATATCATTTTAATCAGCATTTATTCATTTTTTTTTAGTCAGAAGTATCCAACATTCCCCACTTCAGTTACTGTGGCAAAATAATAATCCTATAGACTATAGGCCTAATGTAAATTCCCCAAGTGTTTCCCAACATTGTTCTAAATAATGTAAGAGACTAATGCTTTCAAAATTCTGACCACTGTTTTGTAAGTTTCACAGGATACTTGAGATTTGTTATTAGAACCCCTAACGTGCCTATCTTTTTTTTTATTTTATCAAATCTTGCAAATTTTAACCGGCTCTGAACGTGAATCGGCTTTAAATGCTGAAATTAATCCTCAAATGTAAGATTTGTAAATACACGTACTTGATACACTTACCGGCATTGTTACAATGCATTTCCCTAAACTCAGATCTAGCTTTCACGAGTTTTTTTTAAATGATTGACTTCACTTAACATTGATTTCATCTCTTCTTGTTTTTTAGGGGGTGGGGTAGGGTAGGAGAAGACAGGATTTAACTGTCTTTCATCTTTACAATATAATTTAGTTTAAACTCTCTAATCATTCTTAATATATATGAAAACTAGAGAGCATTTACTGGTCTTAATATTTTTCATGACCACACCCTGTACAATATTTAGGATGCTGTTCTATAATAAAAGTTTACAACAATTTTTTTTTCCCGCAAGTTGTACTCCATTTTGAGAACAGCTGAAATTATGCCATCACTGATTATATCTTCAGATATTTCATGGTTTATTAGGCCTATAATTTCCCCAATACTTTGCAATTTCATGATTTTATACCAACATGCTGACCTATAGTGTTTTGATGAAAAATGAAATAATTATATATGGTAATGAATCGGTAAATTGAATTATTCGTTATCTATTTCAGTCTTTTGCGCGCGTGTGTGTGTGATAAGATTTGACACCCCCCCCCCTGCACGATTTAAAAGATTTAATAAAATCATTTTTTGTGTATGGCGATGGGCCTCTACCCCGACCTCAAACTCCCCCCCCCCCCTCCCCTAGCCTTTTCAAGATCCCACCTCTGCGTATAACTATGTTTATTTAAAAGGATGTCATATCTATATATGTACTATTTTTACCACGCATTGTAAGTTAGACTCTTCAATAAATAAAACTTAAACATTATACATTGTATGATAAATTTACACAGGATTCCCGAACACACTGGGATGCGTTGATGGAACATTCATTAGAATTATGGCTCCAACTGAAAATGAACCGGATTTTGTGAATAGAAAGGGATTCCATTCTTTGAATGTACAGGTCAGTATTTTATTTCTTCTTTATTTTCTTTGTTGTTTTATCTCATATCAAATGCTTCCAATGTTGAAGTTATAGACTTTTTAATCAAAACATCAGTGATATGAGCGTCGTCTTTGAAAGGGGCAGCCAATGAAAAAATCTATTCCCCTAAAAAAAGGACTTGATAAGCAGAAATTTTATTTTAAAAGTCGTTTGAACTCCTAATTACTAAATCATATTTAGCTGACTATACTGCAACAAAAAGTTGCCTCCCACACCCCTTCTGATGCTACGAGACTGCATATCAATATTATTTTTATTTAAATTCTTTAATTTTGCAGCATTATATGCAATTTATCAGCCATCTTAAAAAGTTAGGTTTTCATTTTGATTTCAAATAGATGGTTTGTGATGCCAACTTCCAATTCACGAGTGTGTGTGCCAACTGGCCCGGTAGTGTCCATGATAGCAGGATTTGGCGGGAATCCTTCCTTTGTCGACAATTCGAAAGAGGTAAACAACTTTATTTATATTTTACTAAAAAAAATTGATCCATTTGTTTATCGATGAAGAAGGGAAATAAATTTGAAATGTTGAAGGTTATTATTCTAGAAATTCAATTAAGAAACTCTCACATGTACGTTTAGGTGAACACAATGGCATTTTGTTGGGTGATTCTGGATACCCCTGTCGACGCTATTTAATGACACCATACCTCAACCCGCAGACAAACGCTCACCAACGATTTAATGCATCTCTGTGTCGAACCAGAGTTCTTATTGAGCAAAGTTTTGGAATTCTGAAACGGAGGTTTTCCTGTCTTCAAGGAACTCTGAGGTAAAGAAGCTTTCCATTATTTAGATGAAATACATGCAACTTCTAAAATAACATATTTTGCTATATTCAGTAAATAATACCCTCTATATTTTTTAACAGATAAACCGTCTAAATATTTCATATTGGCTCAACTAAAAATATTGACGGCCATCTCTTGGGGACTAACACAATCAAAATACATGTAACTAAGTAAAAATTCAAATCTAATTTGATTTTTTTTTTACAGAACGGCCCCTGAACAGACAGTAGCATACGTTGTCGCTTGCGTCATCCTTCATAATCTTGGGATTCGAACTGGTGATGTGATGGATAGATTGGACCAGCAAGTGGATGCATTTGATCCGACGGCCCACCAAGTTGTGTGCAATTCTCCAGAGGGAAGTCACTTGCAAGACTATATCGCACAGACGTATTTTGGGTAGAGCTACATGTAGGTATTAACATATTCATTAAAACACTTGCGTATTTTTGAATTCATAATGCCGAAGATCACACAACTTACGTGTATGTATACAACTATACATTGATTCAACCAATTGATTATTAATATAACAATCATTGTGCTGATAAACATTTTTTTGTCTATTTCATGTCATTTTCAAGTGGTTGACGGTTTATAGTGACATATGTTTCAGAATTTCATTTGATATACTGAAGTACATGCGTTCATTTATTGTTTAAAAAATAAATATTTCACATTTACTGATCCCAATTCAAGAGTTTGTGATCTATTCAGAGCCTCTCAAAAGTAGTTGGTCATTGACACACAGGGTTTATGATGAATTCTGGAAATTCAGAACTTAATTTACACAATAAATATGATTTTTTAATCTCAAGCATTTCAATTTCCGTTTGCAATTTTTTCTCCTCTAAGGCTAATTTCTTTTGTTCTTGAACAAGCTTGTTTATTTGTTGTGTCAGCTTTTCATTTTCAAGTTTACTATTTTTTATCTCTAGATCATCCAAGATCTCTCGTGGTGCCAGCTTCCTCTTCTTTTCCTTAGGCCGTACATCTTTTACAAAAAATATAAATGCAAATATATACACTGTACTTGCGTACAAAATGTATGTACCATTTTATCAAAGATTAATGTTAATATATTTTTAAAATGATAGGTATCTTACCTGAATTTTTACTAAATGATAAACTTAAACCGGATGACGATGTTGAAGCATCACCGGTTCCTTCAACAACTGCTACTAACTCTTGTGTTTGGACAGATGTTATTGGTTCTATAATTACAAGGTACATGTATATTGAATGTTTAAAGTTTTCCGCGGTCCCAAAATATGACATCTTTTTAAATTCTTAACTCTACTAAAGAATGAGAATTTTATTCTGGCAAAGTTCTACCTCTTAAATAAGTGACATTGTTTAATTTACCATCGGTATCAATGCTTCCCACCAAGCCAACAATGTTAGGTCGAGTATCCATTGCCTGGTACAATGCCTCCTCTGCCTGAGTGAGGGGCGCTGATGGTGGACCTCCCCCAGTCTTGGGCCTGCGTATGTCATCAATTTTCTCTTTTGCTACAATTGATGGCGATTTTAAACAGTTCTCATTTATAAATATTTCCAAAAAAATACTTTGCTCAGCTCTAAAAAAAAAAAAAAAAAGTAATAATATTTTACCTCTCTGTTTGATGTTATACTTTTTGTAGATGGAGTCAGATGTTCTGTCGTTTTTAAATTGTTTGTATGAATGAAATTAAAAACAAAACTTTGATAAATTCTTATTTGTGTTTGACAAATTAGACATCTCATTTTAATAGTGTAACATTTTTTAAAATATTATAGTGGATAATCACATAGAATATACTTAAACATAATTATATTTTTTTTATTTAAATAGTTATATTTTTGTTTTTTTTTATTAAAAAAAATATATTTTGTAGTCATTTATATTCGTTTTCTTGTATCATAATCTTAAAAAAAATCTGTAGGATGGTAAAAGTATTCCCCCCCCCCCCCATTTGGGACTTGATTTTTGATTTTAAAATGAATTTCTTTAATCCCCAATATTATTAATGTCTGAAGCCACGGTCTGAAGTGGTTTGTACCGATATTTGAGCCCCCACCCGCTTTCGTCGTTTGTGACCAGAAATGGTATATATTTACATCCAATGAATATTTTTTCCTTTATTTCTTAAGAAACCCCATTGCGTTCATCACTGCATAAACTGCAGTAGGCATGTCGCCTGTACAGATTTCTTAATCAGTGGCTGTTCCATCAATGAAACGTATAAAGGCTTTCGCATCATTAATACAATAATTAATCTTTTTTATCCTACTATAATTGGTTATTTAAACAGATATAAATATAAACAATAAAATGTCTTTCTTTGTTTGTTATTACTGGAATGAACGGTCGTAGCTATTGCAGAAAAAATTTACATAACCCGCTTACGCGGGTTATGTATTTTTTCTGCAACAGCTGCTTCCGTTCATTCCAGTAACAACAAACAAAGAAAGCATTTTATTGTTTAAATAATACACGACATAACGATGTAACCAACATATGTGATTCTGTTTAAGATGAGTTTATATTAAATTAACGGAGGAATTTTGATTAACTGTGGGCATTTACAGTTACGAACAGAAAACATTGTCCGTATTAATTTAGGACTGGAATATACTGGGATAAAATTTGTGTTTACACCTACAAAGGGAGATCACAGCGAGAATCGTCTGGTCAAAACAAAAAGTAAGTGAATTCAGATTGATATAACAGTACTCACAAATTCAGTGTGTCAGTGATGGACTTCCAAGTTTCTTCTTTTACCTTTCCATGTTTCCCTTTCACCCCCGCCCCTTTCATCTTTCCAAATAGTTGTTGTTCGAATTTTAAAACCTCTTCAATTAAAGTTATCGCCTCCTCGCTGCTCCAATTAGCCCCCCGTTTCCTTTTACCCCCTGATATCAACCCAATTATGTCTTTCTCAGCCATTTTCATACAAAATAACACACAGACGACAGATATTTATTGCGTAAAATCATTACGTAAAAATTCCGCGAAAGTGCGCGATGTTATTGATGTAACAACTCAACTGAGTTGAGGGAAAAAAATCACCTCTATTGAGGTGATACTCAGTCTGTTTGGTGACGGCGAATTGAGGAAATCCTCAGTTAGGGAAACCTCAAGGGGTTTGAGTTGAGTATTGAGGGTGAGGTTGAGGAATTTTGGTGACGGCGGGGCCAGGCATTCAGAGAAATTGTCATAATTTTTATACTTATTTGGTATTTTTGTCTTCTATTTCCGTCATGTTTTCTATAATACATAGTGTTAAAGGCTTTTGCAATCATTGCAAGACATCACAAATCACTTTTTTATTTCATATCATGCTAATAATTTCTCTAAAAGTGTATTTACTATTATTTTTTTCCGTTTATAGGGTACCAATATCAACTTTTATGAGACTTTTGCTAAAACTTCAAAAAATCTTTATCTTGTAAAGATAAAGAAAATAAAAATTGTGGCATGAAAAAAATTATTTTCAAGTTTCATTTTTGATGCATTTCAAATTGAATACTAATTTTTGAAGTTATCGTTTTCGCAAATTTAGCCATTTCTCTTTAAAATTGGGTAATTTATTTTTAGCGAGATGTACATGTAATATTAGCGATTTTGAAATGCTGACTTGAAGAAACTTTTAAAACTTAAACAAAAAATTATTCTCGCTAATAATGCCAAAATTAAATCCTAGCTAAAAAATTCTGCTATATGGTTTAAATTCATTGAATTGCCGTACGCTCATACATGTATCGTACTGTCAAACATGGCTAACTTAAAAGATTACATGAAACAGCAATTTTAAGTTTCTGGATGCCACTGGTCCAAATTATATTAACTGTAATCCAATACATCTTTCAATTTAGGCAAAGAGTTTTTTTCAACCTATTTTTGTTATCATAATGAAAGAACCATTTTTGAATTAAATTCAAAAGCTGCTTAAGTGCACTAGATTTAGAGCTTTCAGGTATTTTTTTCCTAGGTCAAGTATCATATAAATACACCTCCACGCAATTTTTTTTTTTAGCTCGCATGGCTTTTTGCACATTCTTCTTGCAGTAAAACTTTACTTTATCGAACTTCAATACGAGACAATATCCGAGTTTGTATTTAATATTTCAAGACAAAAGTATATAATCATATTCTTTAAAGTAGGTACAGCTGTATCTCAAGTTTTTCAAATTCGATTTTTAAAAAGGAATTTATAAATCGTTTAATGTTACATCTGTATGCTTCAATTTATGTATTGCAAATTAAATTAATCTAGCTTTCTTTGAATTTATTTACTGCAGACGTACTTTTTCCCACGGGGTCATAATTCCCCGAAATCTCAAATTCTGTGTAATCTGGCGGTAGAAAAATTATGCGCGGATATTCTAGACTGTCAATATATACATGTACCTTACATTTATAATAAGTATGCTTGGACATATTTTCGCGGAAAATTTGTGGCTGCGTGCATAGTGTAAATTAATATCACGCCGATAAAAGTACTTTTACAGTATCTCAATTACTAGTATTCAAAATGACTTCCTCAAGCTGATTAATTTGCTATAAATTTACCATACTCGTCTTTTGTATGTCAAAATGTGGCATCGAAAACGGACGATGTTGCCTAAAGTAATAATATCAAAATATACAATAATAATGTATTGTTTATCATTTAAAAAAAAATACTGTTACTATTGGATTGCAATTTATTTAACGATATACGATATGTAACTTTTAAATTTTGCGATTGGACGTATCTTTCTTGATGCAAGATTTCGGAAAGAAACTATGAAAAAACAGTTTTAACACTGAAAGCAGATGAACAGATGGGAATTATTGTTTTTATACTTTTATGTTAAATACTAAAATCTGATTGGTTTAGACGCAGTTAACAATCAGTTCGATTACCCTGAGCCTTAGCAACACACGTCACAACGGGTAACACAACGCTAATGCCACATGCGTGGAAATTATGCGCGTACAGTTCACCGTAGAATTCTCAAAACGTCAGTTGCGCGTTTGAAAGAACCGGAATTAACTTGACGTCAATAAAAGCTTGCGTCCGATAGAGCTTACTTGAAAACAACAAACGACAGACGATAGTCAGAAATAACAAAACTTTATATGATAAATGACTCTAATTCGAGTATCAAACAAACAATAAGGAGATTAGTGAACCGGTGAGTGTGAAAGCTTTCTATTCATGAACGTAAAGACGATCGACGGTTTTTTTTTTTTTTGCTGACGTCCTAAATCAATAAGACATTCAGTATAATAAAATAAATGGTGCCTGTTTTGGAGGGTAACATTTGAAATTGACACCCTTCGGAAAACCATTGTCAACCTCCGCTGACGCGTCGGTTGACAATGGTTTTCCTTGGGGTGTCAATTTCAAAAGTTACCCTCCAAAACAGGCACCATTTATATATTGTCATCTGGATCTTTAGTGCCATATCAAGGCTGTTCAAAGTTAACTCTACGTTTAACGTCACATCTAAATTTCGAAAGGTACAAGGGAGGGGGGGGGGATAAATAAATAAACAAAAGTTTTAAACAATTGTGTATTCATTCAAATCAATCTATTCAGTATACCTGTATCTAAAACACTATCATAATGAGTAATAAGAGTATTGGATATGACACCTTACCTAAGTCTATATTCCATAACATTTTTCTCCCCTTAGCATGTGTATTGGTTTGACTCCTTTTGTTGTCCCCCGCTTGAAAAGTGGGGGATATTAATTTGGGTCTGTCCGTCCGTCCGTCTTTAATTCTGTCTGTCTGTAACGCTTTCGTTTCCACACGATATCTCGAGAACCTTTTGAGCTTTCGCAATGAAATTTTGAACAGCAACTCCCTATGGACTGAAAAAGAACTCTATTAATTTTGATTTCAAAATGTTAAAGGTCAAGGTCATAAATTCGGAAATTCTGTCCGTTAGAAAACTTTCGTTTCCGCGCGATATCTCGAGAGCCCTTTGAGCTTTTGCAATCAAATTTTACGTAAAACTCCCTGTAGTCTATGGAAGACCCCTATTGATTTCGAGGTCAAAGATCAAGATCGTAAATTGATACATTCTATTTGTATGGAACACTATCATTTCCGGGCGATGTTTCAAGAAGATTTTTATCGCTTGCAATGTAATTTTATACCAAAACACCCTAGGACCTCTCTCACCCCTCTCAAAGTGTGCCGCCCCGTTTGTTTTATTAGGATTTATTGTATTAGATATTGCTATTTTTAGCACAGGCTTTATATGTCCTAAACCGGAGCGGACATACACAATTTCGAAATGTTTGTTTTTTCGAAGACGGATTTCTCCTAAACCTATACACGCGTGTGAAACTTCCCAAATGGTTAAAAGCAGCCGTCTTTGTATAGGTTCTTTTGAAAGTTTTTTTTTTTTTGCCTTGCCCAGACATAGGAACAGTGCAGTTCATGTAACTTCTGTTTTGTTTTGATTTTTAGCCGGGCTTATTGCTCAAAGAGCAATTGCCGGCTTATGTGATCCTGTTCAAGGCAGGATGTTGACCCCATAGTCGCCATTTTAAAGTTACGTGCAAAAATATAGTTCTTACTCTCAACCGCTTTTGAGATAATACGAACGCTAAATAAAGCAACAAAAATAAAACGAAGTTTTATCTATATAAAATAAACATTAGTAGTAATGACTTTGAAAACTTCATAAGTCAAAGAACATAGTTCATTAGCGTAAGGATTTTTGATAATCAGTGTTACCGTAGTTCTCTACACATACGAGGTAAAGCAGGAGAGGGAACCAGACTGGCCTGTTTGTTTACATTCAGTCGCGGTACCAGATTAATTCTGATTCTGACAAAATCGAACCGTGGTATTAGGATTGAAAAACTCACTGTCTTATCATTTATATTGATAGTTTTAAAATAATTTTTTCATCAGAATATAAACGTGATTCATGTAAGAAATCCATTCTACTCTGTAAATGAGCCCGGCTCTCTGTACTTCTGAGTACTTTGATTAAATTAGGCTGTTTAAAATTAATTTACGTTTAAAGTCACATTCAAAAGAACGGATTGTTTACAGTAGAAACAATCAAATAATGCCGAAAGTACAATGTGTTGTACATATGTATATCCTAAACCGGAACGGACATACACAATTCCGAAATGTTTGTTGTTTCAAAGGCTGATTTCTCCTAAACCTATATATGCACGCGTGTGAAAGTTCCCAAATGCTTAAATACTTATGTTTTTGTATCCGTTCTTTTGAAAGTATTTTTTTTGCATTGCCCAGACATAGAAACATTTCAGTTCATGTAATTTCTGGTTTTTTTTTTACAGTAAGCTGTTTAAAATTAATTTACGTTTTCCGTCACATTTTTTCAAGAACGGATACAAAGACGGCAGGAAAGAGCATATCAAAATCCTACTTATTATTTTGTGTAAATTGTGTTTACTTTAAGAAACAAAATTCTTATTAAGTTATATCCGTAAAAATATCTTTGTATATATATAAAAATCTTTAAAATATTTTTTTAAAAAAGGGCAAAACCATGATTTGTCAAATTCATATGGAAGCATCCTTAGGTGGTGTAAATTTTAAGTTTGTTCAAGTCAAAACCCGTGGAGCCACAAAGGACGATCGAAGTGTTGCGTAGGAATAAATATCAAAAATCTTTAAAATATCTTTCTCAAGAACAACTTGGCAAAGGAAGGATGAAACACGTGAAATCATCCTCAGGTAGTTTAGATAGAAATATATCTAAAAATTATGACCCCCTGGGGTAAAGTCGGGCCATGATTGCCGATCGAAGTTTTACATAGGAATATATGGGTAAAAAAAAACTTTAAAAATCTTTTTTTCGAGAGAACAGCAAAGCTATTATCCGTTGGAATACACAGAAAAAGTATTTTAAAATCTTCTCCAGAACAGTTCAAATGCAAAAAATAGTTTTGTTGCATTGTTCAAACCAAAGTACTATGTTTAAAGATAAAAATAGTTATGTAGCATTTATGAATTTTT